TCTTCAAAATTAGAACTATGTTGGGTTCATCATCCTGTGTTTCTGCACCTCGGATTTACCAGAAGTCATGGAAAGACTGAGCATTAAATGAACATCCAGCAAAGGCTTGGTATGACTTGGCTTGACTGCAAGAGTGTTCAGAATAGGTGTGCCTAAGATGTGCCTTCTGAGATGAAGGATGGATTTTGCCACAGTGAAAGATTTTGAGTAAAAGTATAGAATACTTGAGGACTTTACCCATGGTATGGAAGTAATGTTTTAATCCCAAAAACTGTCTTAGAAGTACTTACTGATACTCTGAACTGGAAGGAGTGTGGAAAGTTTGAGGAAACTGAACTGATTCTATACACATTTTTCCTCTGAGGAAAAACCTGTTTTTGTTCTGAAAGTCTGCTACAATGGATGTGGAATCCTTTTCTTCCTTGGGAAAGTTCTTATCAAAGCTTGGGTGTATTCCTTAAAGGAGATCTTCATAAAATGCAAACTCTAGTAAGCCAAAGTCTGGCTTTTGTAGTACCATCATTTGGTTTTCTTCTAATGTGAAACCATAAGGAATCTACTGTTGGAGGAAACAGCTGTCTAGCTTAGTGTTCATCTCCAGCAATGGACAACAGCTATGATTTTCCTTTTCAGGAAGGGCAGGGCAAGTATATAAAGATACTTCCACAGCCTTTAATTGCTTAAGACTTAAGAATATTCTGAATTGGAGAGTTTTTTCTGAGTTAACTATGAGGTCATGAGAATTGAGAAATGCTGCTGTTGTTGGGGCATGCTTTAGTTGTGTAACAAACTTGTTTGATTGACTTGATCTAAATTGATGGTGTTTAGCTGCAAGCTAATAAAATTTAAATAGCCTAAATAAAACAAAATATATCGTTGCTGTTGTGTAATGTTAGTAATTTCCAAACCACTCCTGTGTATTTCATTCAAGGCATCATTTAGGAGGATTTATAAAAGAACATTGTTCTTAAAATATGTTCACTTTCAAAATTTGGAAACTATTTCTGGTGAAATATGTATGGTTCCATCAACTCCATGTTTTCTAAATCCATGATGATTTCAATGTCATAGAGCTTGAGCTTTGGATTCTTCAGTTTTTCCACCTGAAGTAGAAAATTAATATGAAACTATTTGAATTTAATAGGGTATCTGAGACTTCTGAATCTAAGGAATGTTGTAGAATATTTCTGAAGGCTAAGCAGACAAATTCACCTGGTTCCTGTTTCTCCTGAGCTTGTTTTGGAAACACTGTATTAAGGACAAATACAATAAACATTTCTGTTTACTTTGAGTTTGACATTTGATCTTAAATCGATCCTATTGATTTACTACAGACAAATACAAAGCATCATTTTGTTCTACATTAAACACAAGTGTTTCTATTGGCTTAGCAGAGGGAGCTGGAATCCTGGCTTGTAGTTCTGCCACAGGAAGATTAATTCTACCTCAAGATTAACGTGAAACAATTCTACTTTGTCATTATCTGATGTATCTAGCAGCATTATTTGGTGAATTAACTGAGGAGTAATCATTGCTTTGATCTCTCTGCTATGATTAAATGTAAAGAGAAAAAAAATCCATGTAGTTATTACTTCATCCAGTTAAATTCCTGGACTGTTGCATTAGCAGCATCCTTGGTCTGAGAACATGGGATTTTAATCCCTAGCATTATGGGAAGCCTTAATCACATGTTTATTTACTATTTGTGATCTAGGAAATGTTGTTGCTTCTTATAGCTAAGCAGAATGTAATCTAAGGATTAGGAAAAGACAAATCTTCCTATTCATTTGACCTTGAAAACCTGATTGGATTTCCTGTGTGATTTGGCATGATTTTCCTTAATTACCTAAAACTTGATGTATGTGAAAGATAGATATTGAGTGAACTGTGCAGCTTATGGCTGAAGTTCTAGTGCTTAACTTTTTCAGGTTCATCTTAGATTTGAGTGCAAAGAAATGATGTGAAAACCAGAAGAGTCTGAGATAAAATGTGTTCTCAATGTAAGAAAATTTTTCAGTAAATCAGTGTTCTTGACTTCATTCAAAGTGAAATTCTTATGATAGCAGTAAATATACATAGTCTTAAGTCAGTTGGATTAACTTTGGACCATAAGAGGAAAATTTATTTTGTCTTATTTCATAATGGTATGGAGGTGGGCTATGGCTGTTCGTTAGAAGAAAAACAAGTTATTTGACTTGAAAACAAAAGGGGGAAAGCTGTGATCCATTTTACTGATAGTTGATTGGTATCCTCTTATGGGTCTCAGTAGCTTCTTCAAGTAAATGGGAAGCTGATTAAACAGTGAAAGTTAGAATAAAAAACGGTTGTTCTTAAAGGTAAAGTATGTAGCTATTTGGGGTAGGAGAACTGATCTTGAGAGTAATGAATAGATTTAAAGTAGCCAAAGTAAATATTAAAAGAAATCAGGTGATGACATATAATGAAGGGATATGTCTTTCTGTTTTTATGTCTTTTTTTAACCTTGACAAGTCCATTTGAGGCACCTGAATGTTCCTGAAGCAGAACTCACTTTTAGGTGAAATATTAGCAGTTTCTAAGAAGGTTCATCCAAATGTGTGGTTCTAACTTAAAATTTCTTACTAGTTCTGAAGATAGTTTCAATTAAGCTTTCAGCTGGGTGAAGGGATTGCAGTGTATGTATGGCCATACCAGGCAGTTGTGTACAATAGTGTGACTGAAATTTTTAGCTTTACTGCTTCATAAAGACATGATGGGATTTGATGTTAACAGTACTTTTATTTTCTAGGTTTAGATTACTTCAGGAAAAAGTCCTTCTCTGTAGTAGTAACTATAGCTACTGAAAACTTCTAAAAGATCTTGTATCAATCTACTATCAGTCTAGCTACCAGGAGTCTTTTGGTGCACTGATCTGTTACAAAATAATACAGCTTGGTGTGTTAATTTACTTCTTAATCTTGAATGCAATTGAACTGTGCTTTTATGAACAAATCTTAGTCCTAGCATTTAAAGTCTACACTAAAGCTTGTATTAAGTTTTATTGTGACATGCTTGCTTCAGTCATAACAAAAACAGTGTATTTTTGTTACCTTATTAATATTTGGTATTTCATAGTATAAAATGTTGAAGAACAGCATACTTCTGTTAAGTTTTGAATTATAAGTGTTTATACCAAGAGCAGCATTAAAAATAGTTGTTTTCCACTCATAAAAGACACAAACCTCTATGTATCTGGTCTTGTTTCCCAAGGGAGACCAAAGAGCTTCGTTGTGGTTAGATCAGGAGGCCAGGGCTGTTACAAGTAGATTATTTGTATGCTGTGATAGAACTGTGCTCTTGCATCTGCACATGATGATCAGGAACTTTGACTTCTAAATGGTACCAGTCATCTGGTTTGAGTAGGAACTTCATGACCTATAAAATTTCAGTCTAGAAATGAATCCAAATGTAATTTCACATCTGTTTAATTGTCCATAATTCTCTAGTCCATAAAGTGGTATCTACAAAAAAAACACATGACTTCCATTTTTACCTGGATTTAGATGTTAAAATGTGTTCCTCAGTAGCTATCAGACTGGGCTGTGGATTTGGGAGTTCTTTCTGAGTATGCTGCAATGTAAAGGACCTTAGAAGAACCTTGAGAGGAAGGTTGCTTTGATAGGGCTCCTCCAGAATGTTTACATTACTAAAATCCATATGAATCAAACTTCCTAGGGATTTGTCAAGAAGATTTGAAAGTAAATCTGGGGAAGGTTGTTCTTTAAAGAAGTCTTCAGGTTGTCTGAGGCTAGTTTGGCTTTCTTCAGTCATCTAACACATGAACACTAACTTGAATAAATGTGATTTATGCTTTTTATGAAGAAAGGTTGGACCAGATGATCCTTGAGGTCCCTTCCAACCTGGTATTCTAAGATTATAATTGTATTTCTTTCCAGTTCTGTGCTAGTGAGATGAAAAGTTGCATGGGAAACTGGAGTTTCAGTTACTGGGAAAATGTTAATCTTCATATCTGTTGTGGTAAATGGGAAGGGACTGGTGTTCATTAAACAAAGCTGTGAGTGATTCATGGAGATTTCAGAAGTAAGGAATCTGTTGGTTTACTATTACTTGTGTTTTTCATAGGAAGTAATTTCAAACCACGTTGTCGTTCAAAGTGTACCTAAAAAAGGTACACTCCTCCCATAGTTTTGATTTGTTTTTACTCCAAGGATTGTTACTGTCTCATCTCCTGTTTGTATGAGATCCTATTCCCACTAAAGAAACTTCCAAGTCTTGAAAAATTGTATCAAATTCTACTGGTTAAGTAGAGTAGAAGGGTGCTGCTTGTGAAGAAACCTAAGGTATTTTAAGGTAGTTGTAGAGGCCTAGTGCTAGATGTCCACAGAACCTTTGTTGCACTCCTGAAAGGACTGGGTTTTGCTTTGTCCTATGCTAACCTGTTTAGCACAGCAACCCACAGCGTGCTGGGCCCAGTCCAGCAAAGACTCCAAGCAGTGCATCGTTTTTAGTGTCCTTGTATGCTCCTCATGTTTCCTTATCAATGAAATGAAGTCTGCGATTTTTCATTACCACACTGGTGAGTTAATATTTGGAGAGAATTATAATCAAGAATCAGTTTTGTATGTATCTCTGGAATGAGCAGAGTCATGCTGCCTGGGTTTGAACGTCTAGATCTCTTGTCTAATTATGTCATCATTGGTACAGCACTAATTTGGATTTTGGAGTATGATCTATGTCTCATTTATATTCCTAAAATTATGAAAGATTAATTTGACAATTGCTCATAAGTGCACTGCAGGCAACCACCATTAAAACTGTATACTTTGTTTATAGTATAGAGAATAAAATACTCAAGTGTTAAACCACACTGTATATTTTTGAATTTAAAAATGGATAGTTATCTAAGAATAGATTTCACTGCTTGAGCCATATGAAATGTAAGTTTTTAACTTATATTGACTTTGAAGATTCTCAGCTTTGTATTAAACTGAGAAAATAACTTTTTTTCCTTTAACAGAAATTGAAAAATTCCAAAAAGGGGAAGGAAAAGAAGAAGAGAAATATATTGATGTAGTCATCAATAAAAATATGAAGTTGGGACAGAAAGTTTTGATTCCAGTAAAACAGTTTCCTAAGGTAAGCCTCATTTCATTATTGATAAATTTAAGTGCTTCTAAAACATGTTCCACTCGTATTAACTATTTTTAACTGTTACATTTAAAACTATTAACAAACTGCTGTTACTATTCTGCAGTCTGTTTTATGTGAGTTCTAAGTCAGGAATAGTTCTTGCTGGGATAAATGTGCTGGAAAGTGGTACTGGTCACACAGAATAGCATGTTGAGAACAAATGATTCATCTGTCATTTTCAGGATAGCAGGATTCTTCCACTTCAGAATATGCAAATGAATGAAATACACTTAAATTGACTGGTGCTGGGCTTTGAAACTTTATTGTTGTAGGTAGAAATGCAGCTTAAAGTGCACCATTACAGAACTTGCTGTGTAAATTCTTCTCATCCTCTTGAGTTTCAGCCATATTCTTACATTATTGAATTAGCTACATGTGTACCCTAAATGACAGTTTATTCTGGAGGGACAGGGACTGTTTTGTTACTTTTTGATCACCATGAATTCTTAATGCTTCTTTACTTCCAGGTATTATCCTGCTCTAAAATCATAAAAACATTTTTTTGTGATAAATGAGGTGTCTGGGTGAAATCAGCCCAGCAGTGCACTACCCCTACTCAGCTTACTACACCTGGCATGGGGTTAACTAAGTTACCTTTAAGTATTTTCCTCTCTAAAGCTCCTCTATAACTCTGAATAAATCGTAGTAGCCTCAGCACGGGTCAGGCAGTCCTAGCTCTGGTGTGACCAGCTTGGCACTGTACTGTCTGCTCACATCACCTGTCCTCTCAGATCCTTCTCACAGGTGCATGTCTTGTGCAAATTCAGCCTCATTACCTCTGACAGCCCTGGAAGGTGACAGGTTAACTGCAGCAGAAAGCTATTCAGTTGAAGTTCAGAGCAGGTGGGTTTCTACTGGAAAAGAATCTGGAGAACCTCAGATTCAAAAGTAGGTGTTTCACATTTTCTAGCATCTTTGTTCTCCCTGGAAATACATTAGGAATTTCTGGTCTTCTGTGTAGTGCACAAACAACTGAGTCTCTGTGATGTTTAAACTTGCTTCCTAACAGCTCTTTGCTGCTTCTGCAGTGCTATATATTTATATCCTACAGCTGGCACCTTTTGTCTTGCTCAAACCTTGGCAGTTAACAGGCCTAATATCTCTTGCTAGAGCTAGTTGGTTTATATATTTTTTAATATCTGGACCTTGATGGAAGGTGATAAAATAACCAAGACTGCCTGAATTTTGTCTGCTTTATGAAATAATTTAGGATAGTTAGTTCCAAGAGTTATATTCAGTTTCTCCTTGAGGCTGGTTGTGCATTTGAATTATTTTCTTCATTTGTGAGACTCCTGTACACATTCAAAAGACCCATGAGTTAATATAGTGACAATATTGGTAAGACAACCTTCTGGAAACTCCTCTACAGATTGCAAGTCCAGTGAAATCTTCTCAATCTGATTGTATACAATCTTGTGAATTTTTCAGGTTGGTCCAGCTTTACAGATTCCTCAGTCTGGACTGCTGTGATATGGAAATGAAAGAGGTGTTTAGGTGAGGCTTGAATGTGCTTTGGGAATGCTGCCTGCTATCCTGTTGTAACTGAGACGTGCTGCTAGCAAGGATTAGAGAGGTTAGGGGGTTTATGCAACCTTATAGAAAAAGGTCCAGCTTTTTGAGGTGGGATTCAGGTCTAAATCAAGTTACCTGTAGATGGGAGTCCACGTGGATGTTGGATGTCTAAAGTGCAGTTAGTGGTGTGAGATCTTGTCAACTTAGACAATGGAGCTGAGTGATTTAATAGACCTTTCAATTTGCTCAGCTGTGTAACTCAACTGACTCCAAGTCAAGTGTGAAAATATGACCCTTAAACCTGTACTACACTTGCATTTCATGCTTGAAAACAATCTCCAAGCTTGCCCACAACAGTAAAGGTGGAAAAAGTGAGCTGGCTATGGAAGGTCATGATGTCTTGGTAAAGGGAGTCTCTGGATTTATCCTGATGCTAAGGAATAGCAGCATGTGTGAAAGGTGTTTCATAGCTTAGATCTGTCAGATGAGGCAGGAGGGTGTAGTCCCTCTCCCACACATTTAATGAATATGCATCATGGGCAAGCAGTTTAGTCTCAGAAATCTGAATTTGCTGTGACAGTATAGTGAATTCAAGTGTTGTGAATTTGGAGAGAAATAGCTTCCATGGATGATAAATGGAATGATGATGGTTTTCCATGAGATGAATCAAAACTATGTGAACAATTATTTTGGTTTTGTGACAGTCTACTGTTTTAAAAATTGCTTGTAGATTTACACTTAAATACTGGGTAAGTCTCAGAAGTCATTAAGAAATGGTCTGTGTAGTGTTCCCTGAAGTGATACTTGAAATATCAGTCTCAAAAGTTACTGACTTCCAGAACTAGTATCCATTTAAGCCTTTTAGCTCAACACTTAAAGTGAAAATGCCATTGTCATACACAGTATATCTGCAGTTGTTACATAATGTCATGGAGAGATTAATATTTTAATCACCTGTTTTAATATCTTAGCTCTAAGGATTTCTTGGAGTAGAAATTAGAAAATGTGGTTGCATAACTAAGTAACATGGAAGAACAAGCATCAGATGTGTATACCAGGGATAACTTTTGACCAACTTAGTTATTCACAGAATCACAGAAGAGTTTGAATTGGAAGGGACCCTAAAGATCATCTAGTTCAAATCCCTCTGTCATGGCAGGGACATTTCCTACAGGTTACTCAAAGCCCCATCCAACCTGGTCTTGAACCCCTTTAGTGATGGAGCATCCATAACTTCCCTGGGCAACCTGTTTCAGTGTCTCACTACCCTGGCTACTTGAAAACTACTTTGTATTTCTCCCTTCACTTGCTTCTACTATGTAGGCTCTTTTTACATTTAAGTGTGTCCAGGAGCTCCTTGTTCATCCAGGCAGGACTCCTGGCACTCTTGCCTGCCTTCTTTTTTGGGGCATGTTGCTCCTGGACTTGGAGGAAGTGGTCCTTGACTTTGGAATGACCAGCTTTCTTGGGTCTCTTTCTGCTCCAGGGCTCTATCCCATGCTACATAGCAGATCCCTGAGGAGGTCTGAGTCTACTCACCCAAAGCCTGGGGTAGTGAGCTGGCTGTGCACCTCCTTTATTGCCCAAAGGATCTTGAACTCCATTTCCTGATCACTGCAGCCAGTGCTGCCCTTGAGCTTCATGTTAGCCACTAGCCCCTCCTTGTTGGAGAGAACAAGGCCCAGCATAGCATTTGTTCTTGTTGGTTCCTCTACCAATTGTAGAATGAAGGTGTTGTCAATGTGTTCCAAGATCCTCCTGGGTTCCTGGTGCCCTGCTCTGCTGTCTGTCCAACAGATAGCAGGGTGGTTGAAATCCCCTATGAGGACTAGAGCTTGTAAATGCAAAGATGTTCCTATGTATCTATAAAGGGCTTCATCCACTCTATCTTCCTGGTCAGGTGGCCTGTAGCAGACACTCACTGTGTCACCTTTCACTGCCTTCCATTTCACACTGCCTTAAGGACTTGGTGAGCTTCTCATCCATCTCCAGGGATTACAGCTGATCATTGATGTAGAGGGTGATAACTCCTCTTGTTCTCTTTCCTGAAGAGCTTGTATCCCTCTACTTCTGCACTCTAGCTGTAAGAGCCATCCCACCAGTGATGACAATGTGCTAACCCCATGTGTGCACATCGGTAACTCCTCTGGTTTGTTCTCCATGCTCTGCAGTTCCACAGAGGCATTTAAGCTGGGCCACCAGTGAAGCTCACTTGCTGGCTGGAATCCATTCTTTTCCACTTCAGGTTCTCTGCTGGCCAGTGATTTTTGTCCAGGCCCAGAGCATCTGTTTCTGGCACTGGCCTCAGTGGGATGGATTGAGAATCCCCTCCTGGCAACTCTTGTTAAAATCTTTTTACTCAATTGAAAAGCCTGCAGCCAGAGATGCTCTCCTCCTCCTCTGTGAGGTGGACCCCAGGAGACCAGGTTTCTCAAAGTGAATCCCGTGGTCTAAGTCGCTGAAGCCCTGGTTGTGACACCACTCCTGTGACTATTGTTTTTCCCAATTTGACCCTTTCAAGCCCCTTCCTTTTGACCAGGAGGAATCATGAAAAGACTACTTGGACCCTGATTCCTTCATTGCTCCCAGGGCTCTGTATCACTGTATCCCATACACTATACACTATATCCCAGTGATACAGGGCTCTCTATCTGGCTGTATCACTGGTGCCCATGTGAAAGAGCAGCAGTGGATAAAAGTCAGTGGGACATACAAGGTTTGGGAGTCTCTCTCTGACATCCTTGATATGAGCCCTGGTAAGCAGCAGACCTCTAGACAGTGGATGAGGTTGGTGAATGGGCACTTCTGTACCTCTGAAGAGTCACCTACTGCTGTCACCTGTCACCATGAAAAGACTACTTGGACCCTGATTCCTTCATTGCTCCCAGGGCTCTGTATCACTGTATCCCATACACTATACACTATATCCCAGTGATACAGGGCTCTCTATCTGGCTGTATCACTGGTGCCCATGTGAAAGAGCAGCAGTGGATAAAAGTCAGTGGGACATACAAGGTTTGGGAGTCTCTCTCTGACATCCTTGATATGAGCCCTGGTAAGCAGCAGACCTCTAGACAGTGGATGAGGTTGGTGAATGGGCACTTCTGTACCTCTGAAGAGTCACCTACTGCTGTCACCTGTCACTTTCTTGCTTGCACAAGTTGTTACACAGGGAGCTGATCTGGCTGCCTTAGCTCTGAGGTGTTACCTGGTCCAACCCTTTTTCCTCTTCAGCCTGCAGAGCCATGAAGCAGCTCTGCAGGGGCACCTCAGGCACTGAGGGAGGTCTCCTTCTCCTAGTTCTTAAAGGTTTCCATTCCTCAGCGTTGTTGGCTTTCCCCCCATCTGGGTGTGCCATGGGGGGTTTAGCTGGTTGGCCATAGGCTGTGGGTTCACTGTGGATTGCCCTTGGATACAGCTCTCTCCTTTTCTGC